GGAGTTCAATCGGTGTCATGTTTCGGTAGTCACCCGTTACATATAATGGAAAGTGATCTTTCAATACCATGGATTGAGTGGAGTTAGACATTAACACCTTTTGAATGCTGACTCAATTGTCTAGAGATTAAGAGTTTGCGCGCGATTACCGGATGTGGATTCATGGATGAGCACTGTTAAGCAGTTCCATACTTGAGGGAAACGGCTGTCATGTGTTTTCAGGTTTTCCATGGTAGTCTAGCTTCAAGCGACTCTTGAATTCAACTATTAAAATCATAATCTGTGTGAAAATGTTAAAATCAAATTATTCTTGGTCAAAGTGAATTTGTAGTATGACCTTTCACTGTATTAATTTTTGGGTCAAAATGTGGGTATGAAAACCGTACGCGTTTGTAATATGAAGTGGTATGGTTGAGTCCTGATAGCCACTTGCTTGTGCAGTGTAGTCAAGTTTAAATTCAATTTGTAATGTTTGTTTGAATCTTCTCATTGATGTTTAGGACTGCATTTGATTAGTCTCCTATTGGAATATGTGTACCTTGTGTGGATTGCTTAGATATTGTCTTAAGTCATAAGCATTGTAAGCAAAGTGGAACTCAGGACGTACGTTTTGTTCTATTGGGGACTCATCAGCTAGGAATCAAATATGTTCGATAATTTATGTAGTACATATGTATATATAATCGAACAAATAGTTTTTTGACGTTTTATGCACACAATGGGAAAATACAAGCAATTAATACCAAGTGAATTAAACCTCACCCCGTGGCATAACCAAGTCACTATCAGGACTCAGTAGCTAAGTGGATAACGCGATAGAGTTTGAAGCGAATGGCAGTGGGTTCGAGTCCCAGAGTGAACACCAACTCTGAGATGCATGTGTGTCCAGCTGACAAGTCCCCAATGAGTTGAAATGCGTGTCCTGGTCCCCACTGCTAGACACTACCCATCTTTGCTTATAAAGTTTGTGATTTAAGGCACTATCGCTTTAGTCCGTACAGGATACACATATGCCGACATGAAGCTAATTAATTGCAATCCTAAACATCAATGGTAAGATACAAGCAAACAATACCAAGTGAATTGTATTAATTCAATTCTTTTATTTATTTACTCTGAAGAAGTGGTTTACATTAAGTTGCGAAACATCAGAAATACGATTTTCCTACGCATAGGGATATAAAAAAATATCTTCGTAATTGGTTCATCTATTCTTGAAGTATAATGTGTTTTTGACAGAGAAACTCATTCATACAACCTTCAATCACTGGTGTAATTTTAAGTGACTCTTTACAGTGGAAGGGTGGTGGTGGTGGTTTTAGCGTCAGTTATGTAATATGGTGACGAATTTCCATTTAATATACATTCAAATTATAATTATTGAAAAATGTATTTTATAGATGTTTTTTAACAACCATTATCTGTTACCTATATGAGAATAGAAGAGGTCCTATTGTGATGTGAGCTACTTATATCCATATAAGTAGTACATAACGATAGTCAGGAATAGAAGGTATTTCAGTAGAAGATCGAGAAGGAAAGAATGAGAACGGAAATACAGGAACAATGAAATCGGAGACGGTGGACTGACATTTGCATTAGAAACAGTCAAGTTTGAGACAATTGATTAACATTTTCAAAATTAAGTATTTACTTTATGGTTTAAATCATGAGTCAATTGAAAGTAGACCACTATGGAAAACCTGGAAGCACTGAACGGCCGTTTCATCCTAGCGTGGGACTCTTCAGCAGTGCGCATCCACGATCCCGCCTCCCCCCGTGAGTTCGGACCCAGGACCTATCAGTTTTGCGTGCGAGCGCTTAACCACTAAACCAATGAGCTGACCAGCATACGACGATGTTAATATCTAACTTCAACTAATCCATGAAATTGTGCGACACATTCACTATTGTCTTCAGTGAGTTACTATCTCACAACAGACCTGGTTGAACTCCACTGGTAATGGCTTCTCACTAGGACTTCAGGAAATACCTCTTAAAGCCAGTCACTAGTGTGCAGATGATAATTATTATCAGAAGAGAGTTTTGTGGAGATTTTATTAATTTCAATAGTTAAAATCATGAGTTTGATAGGTCCTGGTTTCGAATCTCACAGTGGGGCAGGATCGTGGATACTCACTGCTTAGGAGTCTCATGCTAGGACGAAACGGCCGTCCAGTGCTTCCTGGTTTTCCATGGTGGACTAGCTTCAGTTGACTGAAATTTCTAAAAATCTCCACAAAATCCCTTCTGATATTTACTTTATTGTTCTTAGATCTTAGTGAAATGCTCTGTAATTTCATGTCATATACATTCGATTATCCCCACTCGTGTTCTTGTTCACTACAAACTGATCTTAAGAGTGTTCATCATGCAACTAGGATTAAATGAAACTTATGAAAACTAGAATTATGATTTACACTTAATGATTAAGGTTATAAATTCAATTTATGGTTTTCATCATGAACTAACATGAATTATAATATTAAACCTCAATTGAATTAAATGAATTGAATTCAATTTTGCGCCAAAATCTGTTATCTTTGACCTGATTGGTTCGTCTATAAATTATAGTCTCCATGTTGTTGTTGTTGTTTTTTTTAAAAAACAATCTGGTTTTCATCCAATCTATCAGATCACTGTGTATTTATGTTTGAATTTTTTAAAAAAAATAAAAAGTAATAATAATCATTTCACTTAGTTACTACTATAGATTTAATATATCATCTTCACTTAGTTACTATATATATATAGGCTTAGTAACTAAAATGTGTTCGATAATTTAAGTAGTATATATACATGTATCTAAATAATCGAATAAATATGAAATAAACCAATCAGATTTATTATATCTTTAAATTTGTGTATCATTATATCATTATAAATTATACATATCAATAAATCAATAATACCACAGATACTAAAGAAAACATTGATTATATGAATAGTTTAACTAAGTTTCTAAGGATTATGTTATTATCATTATAAATTACTTATTTATTATGGGTAAGTATCTGTTTTTTATTTTTATTTTATTTTAACACATAGATATTGGTGCAAGGAGGCAACAAATACGTATGCACCACATAAATCTCATTTGATATGTGTGAGGGCTGTTATACTGCCCGGGTGACCAGACTGAAACAGTTGGTTTACTTAGGAGGCCATACCCGGAACCTTCGACCTAAAGGTCTGATCCACAAGGCAGTGGAGCGTCGTAAAGAGATGCAGTCCCATGGTAGCCAGCCTGTGACGAATAATTGGTTCATACACCATTTGTTCCCTCAGGGTACTGAAGTCCATGTGCACCAATGGTTTAGAATGAGGGTTTTCCAACTACCCTAGGTGGACTCTCCACATCCACCAACTCGGTTAAAGCGCCGGATATTCTCTTTTCGTCCTCTCAATTTCGTAAACAACACTGTGGCCACCAGAAGGTAGTGAGTAGGACTTCCCTTTCAGAGGCTATATACGCATGGCCATGTTAGAGCATTTGGAGAGAGAGAGAGAGAGAGAGCGGACTCTCCCCACTCTCGGCCGTACCAGGGCATTTGGGGGGTAGGTATTTTGGATTTATTTTAAGTATTGAATAATATACCTTACTACTTCTTTATGTTTATATAATTTTAGTGTCATTCTATCATAGAATGATAAGTTAGTAAATACAATAAAATGTAAAGAGAGAGTTTCTGGATGACTCTCAGTAGTGTTAATCTGAATGAAGTTATACTATGATATATGCTACTGATGTTGTGATAGACAATATAAGTAGTATGTATCGTCAATTAAAAATGAAATATTTGATAGTAGAATGGTAGCAGAAAATCAAAGAGAGGAGAATAAGAACAGATAATGATTGGTTATCCCTACCATGTATTCATGTTTACCACAACAGTACATCAATGTTACCTATTCGTTGACAGAATGTATACAATTATTTCAATGATAAGTTGGAATTATATGATTTATTTTTTTGGTTGAGATCATGAATTAATTCACGTTAAACCACCATTAGAAACCTGGAAGCACTGGATAGCCGTTTCGTCCTAGTATGGGACTCCTCAGCAGTGCGCATTCACGATCCCGCACCCCACGGGATTCGAACCCAGGACCTACTGGCTTCGCGCCTGAGCACATAACCACTAGACCACTGAGCCGGCATCCAATGGTGTTAGTGTCTAACATCAACCAATCCACGAAATTGCGCGACCACCTTCCATTGCACTGAGGTAGATACCTGTCTCTACCCGACACGGATTAGCTCCACTGGTCACGGCTTCTCACCAGAACTCCGAGAATTATTACTATTATTATTATTACTCTTATTATTATCCTTATCTCCTCTTACCCCCATTTCCAGTCTAAGTGACCTTTTATTTTTATATATAAATGTTCCTAACAAGTATATCATGTGTGATCAGATTGTTCGAAATGTATTGCACTATTATATCATCACATAGTTCTGATAATCTTCGTCTTCTTATTACATTATTGAAATATATCATATATCCAATACTTTTGATTCAAATGAAACAACATTTAGTGGGGCCCTTTATTTTATCGTCATTTAAATCGGACGATGTTTGTCGACGGGCTCATCACTTTAGTGGCCTGAGATCTGACTCCAAGGAGATAGTAATGATGATTGTTATTGAAATATATACATGTCGCCTATCGTTGTATGTAATCATCGACTTAAATTGCGTTAGGCAGTAACGAAATTATCATTGTTTACTTCTTTATTTTGGTTGTGTTTCCCATTGGTCAACAAGAACCAATCAACATCGAGGTGCACAGAACAAGCTGTGAAACACATGTGGAGAAATTCGAACACTTCACTTCTATCTGAAGTTTGTGCTGATGATGTCGTTCAGAAGAACGATGAAAGCTCCACGACCAAACCATCCAGCTCAGAGAACAAAACTCCACCAAAACATAATATAAAGCAAAATGCTGACCACAACTCAACAGCGATAAGGAATTACATGTATTCAGGTTAGGAAATAACATGATTGAAGCAGTTGTTTAAACATACACTGTAGGGAGAGTATTGCAATGCTCCTTCTTATTAGATAGAAAGTTGGCTGCTACTCTACGTATTCTGTGCTCTCATCCCTGCATGATACAGTCATACTACTCTAGAACTTTAATTGTATTTATCTCAACTGATGAATTGGGCGATAAAGGGAGACAATTGTTTGATAAATAGCTTTTATTATTCTATGAAAAGTAAATTCATGGTTTAACTATTCTGTATACTCCCATAGTCCAAATCACGAGTTGATATTGATTACACTACAATTGAAAACCTGGAAGGATTAGAAGTTCATTTCATCTTAGTAAGGGACTCATCAACAGTACGCATCCACGAACCCGCATCCGGTAATTGAACCCAAAACCTTCATTTTTTCTCTCGAATACCTAATCTCTAGACCACTGAATCGGGATTCAATGGTGTTGTGGTGCATACAATCTACTCGGACAGATATAAATAGTATGTAGCAGTAATCGGATGTGCTATATGTGCCAGCTGAAAGTTGAGAAGATTGAATTGAAGAAAATAGGAAGCGAAGAAGAGAACAATTGTAGTAACAACAGAAGTGAAAGAATCATCAGACTTCATTGTTCTTTGGCTTTCATATCAAACACTCTATGTTCCCGTTCTCTTTTATTCGATCTTCTTAGCCTTCTGCTACCAGGTATTTCACTTTCGATTGATGATACATACTACTTATATCTATCGACATCGATAGCACATACTACACTATTAATTATTTGATTAAATCGATGATGACTTCATCACATGAGGATAGTTAATATGAGAACAGAATAGGTTTTTAATTATTACCACATACTGAAATAGTTTACAACACATATTTTTAATCAGATTTTTTTCAGTCAGAGTCATCATAAAGTTTCCAACTGTTAACAACAAAAGTCAACAAAGTTTGTTTAAATTCACTTGTTATTGTCTACTCGCCCTATAACTAAGTGGAGTTTGAGGCGAACTGTACTAGGTTCGAGTCCCGGAGTGGATGTTAACTCTGGGATGTAGGTATATCCAGCTGACGAGTCCCAAATAGGAAAACGTGAACGCCCTGGATTCCACTGTTAGCCACTATCCATTTTTAGTTATAAATTTGTGTGAATTCATTTTGTATTGTTTGTTTGGATCTTCTCATTGGCGTTTAAGATTGCAATTAATCAATCTTTTATTGGTATATGTGCATCCTGTGCGGATTGTTCTGATATTTTCTTAACTCATAAGCATTCTAAGCAAAGATGGATGATGGCTAGCAGTGAAATCCAGGAAGTACGTTTCGTTCTATTTGGAATTCGTCAGCTATGTGTACCTACAATAAAATATATAAAAAAACATTATACATAATTGAGATTATGAATCAATCAATCTTCGACCATCATTGAAAACCTAGAATCACAGAACAGATGTTTCCTCGTAGTATAAGACTTAACAACAGTGCACGTTCAAGAACCCGTATCCGGCAATGAAACCTAGTACTCTGTGTTTCTCGCATAAGAGCCTAAACTCTAGACCATTGAGTCAGTATTCAATGGTGTTAATATTTAACTTGTAATATGAAAAACTGACTGATTTAAGAAATTTGAACCTTTGAAGGTAATCATAATGACCAGGAATATAAAACATTCACTGATATACCTGGATATTCTAGACTATAAACAATAAGGAAAAGAGTGACAAATGTTCCAGTACTTCATGTGTTGTTTTTATATTGGGGACGATAGATCCCTAAGACTTATATTGTGTAATTTTATCTTTGTGGAGCTTGTATGCAGATGTATGCTTGGGCATTTCTTATCACCTACGCACATAGTCGATTGACGATTAAATGTTTAAAAACTTCCATGTCAATATCGATTATATACATTTTATATAAATACGCTTGATGTGTGTGCTTGTTGGACCTGATATTTTCTGGTTGCCTGTAGAATACACTTTCTACACCTTACCAAGACTTCTTGATCGAGTTAGCTGAGTCGGGGATAACGGACCCGAATAGTCTATCGAGTCTCTGAATCCTTGATTCTTCGTTCCGTTCCGAGTAAGACGAATCAGTAGTAGCGTTCAAGCTTAACGAACCTCAACATTTTATTACTTTTTCAATAGTTTTCTTACTAAATTATACCAGAAGGGGTTTTTGTAGATATTCTAATCATTTCAATAGTTAAGATCATGATTCAATTGAAGCTAGATCACCTTAGATAACCTGAATGGATTGTATGGCTATTTCGTTCTATTATGGAACTCATTAGATTCGAATCTTGCAAGTCGGGATCATGGATATGCATTGCTAAGGAGTCCTATAATAGAATAAACTATATTTATTACCACTTTTCTTTATGAATTTGCATGAATCTTAGTCCAATTACAGTAACCATATTTATCATCCATAAATAGCGCTAAAATTGATTAGTTTACATTCAATGTAAATAAACATTTAAAAATCGATAAATCAATATTGAAATGCATTACAAAATATTGATTTTAATTATTGTTTAAATTGTAGATTTGGTGAGATCTATAATTTATGAAGGATATTTGAGTGACGATTAAATGACCTTGAGAATATCCACCTAGTAACTAGGACCAAAATGAGAGTTATAATCCAGTATGGAGAATTAAAATTATGATTTACAATAGATGATTAAGGCAAACAATTAGATTTAAGGTGACATCGACTAAAAATGCTAAAATTCTATTCAGCCAAATGGACGAATAAATCTCGCGCCAAAATCGAAGACCTGTTATCTTAAATCTGATTGATCCGTACATAAATTATAGTGTGGCCATTTTCAATCTTTTTATGTTCACAGTGTATATTTTTTTTTGAAAAATGTACAATCTTTCAAAATATTTTTTCAATGAACATATAACTAGTAAAAATAAATCTGATTGGTTAATATTGACAACGCCCCCAAATGCCCTGGTACGGCTGAGAGTGGGGAGAGTCCACTCTCCCTCGAAAAATGCTCTCACATGGCCACGCGTACATAGCCTCTGACAGGGAAGTCATACTCATTGCCTTCTCGTGGCCACAGTGTTGTTTATGAAATTAGAAGGACAAAAAGCGAATGTCCGGCGCCTTGACCAGGTTGGTGGACATGGGGAGTCCACCTAGAGTAGTTGGAAAACCCTCATTCCAAGCCAATGATGCACATGGGCTCCAGTATCCTGAAGGAACAAATGGCATATGAACCAATCGTTGGTCACTGGCTACCATGGGACTGCATCTCTTTACGATGCTCCACTGCCTTGTGGATCAGACCTTTAGGTGGAAGGATCTGGTTGTTACCCCTTAAGAAAACCACTTGCTTCGGTTTGGGCACCTGGGCAGTATCACAGCCCTCACACATATCAAATGGGATTTGTGTGGTGCATATGTATTTGGTGCCTCCTTGTACCAATATCTATGTGTTAAAATAAATAAATAAATAATGTTGACAACAATTGGTAATTAGATTCAGTTGGTATCCTCCCATTGTTGTTAAGGTTTACGGTTGATCAATCTCTTGTTAATATATGTGCATCTTGTACGAAGTTTCTCGATATTGCTTTAAGTCACAAGCTTTATGAGTAAAGATGGACTTATAACTCAGTAGCCAAGTAGAGAACTTAATAGAGTTTGAAGTAAACAGTGCTAAGTTCGAGTCCCGGAGTGAACATCAACTCCGGGGTGCAGGTAAATTGAGCTGACTAGTCCCAGTTAGGACGAAACATGCGTCTTGGATTTAACTGCTAGCCACCACTTATCTTTGCTTATAAAACTGGTTGTTATTCTTCAAAACTCTCTTTCTATTGAGAGAGTAATCAGGATTTTAAGTAGGGATATTTACGAACATAGTAAAATTAGTGTTAGGTGTTTGTCAATCATTATGAATGTATAACTGCATTCGACCTTATATACACGATCTATTAGGTGCTTAACGAGTGAAGTTGTAAAGACTTTACTGTTTTTTAAGCATTAATTCCTTGGAAAGTGTTTAGGAAATCGGACTGAAGTTATTGTAGGTAAGGGTAGGTTTATAGATATGATTAGCGGTGATGTTAGTAGGGTATTGATCTACCTTCGAATGGCCTAGTGAACTGTGACAAGGAGAGTCTTAACAATAACCGATATTTTGTAGAACTCCTGTTCGCATCTGTTTTCCGTCCAGCGTTATTAAGATTCCCGAATGAATTAATGGACGAATAAACACGGCAATGAAAAGAAACTTTCCTGTAGTTTATTCGGTTCCACCATGTGTCAGTAAATTTTTGTTGAGTTAGTCAGAAATGTTATCACTATTTGGGTCTATTCTGGTCACAAATGAATTTCTGTAAGACGGGCTGGGAAAATCGGTGACGGGACCGAGTCCTCCTGGAAGTCTCCTCAAGATTACAGGTACACCTTACTGATGAATGTTTCGTACCACGAAATTGAGGTCCAGGGTTCCCTGTCCACCATCTCCCATTACCACCTTAATACTAAACAGTTTATATCCAATTAAAGATTTGACTACTGTTAACTCTTTTTGTCATTATCTTTTCTTTATTCTTTAGAACCCGTTTACCTTGAACTCTTAGATGTTCTACCAACAAGTGTGTTACTAAACGTATTCCATGTTAAAATATTAGATCAATGTGTAATATGCATGGAAAAATATTGTATTGGAGATGAAGTGATACGACTTCCATGTTTTCATGCATTTCATGATCATTGTTTTGTAGATTGGATTTTAGAGGTAACTTTTAATACATTAGATATAATTATCAGTATTATTATTTTTAAGTGTAGGGTTGTGGAGTTTGTTGAGTTTTATTGAAATTATGAACACATCAATGTTAGACAATCATTGAAAAACTGAAAGCACTGAACGATTGTTTTCATCTAGTATGGGACTAGTCAGTATTGCACATTCACAAACTCTCAGTAGGCAATCGCACCTAGAACTTGTAGTCTTGTGTGCAAACGCTTAATCTTTAGACCACTGAACTGGTATTTAGAGGTGTTTATGTTTAACTTCTATCAATACATGGTATTGACCAACCGTTTTCCATTGTATTCGGTGAGTAACCGTCTTAAGTGGTGTTGTGGAGATTGCTAAGCATGCATTTTCATGTCACTATCAGTTTTTGATTTGCCAAACAATAAAAACAAGGAAACATTGGACAAGTGTTCCCACCTAACACAGCACTCTTCGACAATACGGATTCAAGATCTCACCACAGACCGAGCTTAGGGCCTCATAGCGAATGTCACTGGTGTGCACTACTGAGAAATCACACTTGAACGGAACAGCTGTTATGTACTCCCAGGTTTTTAGCGGTTGTCTAGTCAAAGTTAGTCAGTAATGTGATATATCAAATAAGATATGAAAAATTTCATTAATTCGTGGAACTTTCATCGTTCTTCTGAACAACATCATCAGTACGAAGGTAGGACAAAACTCCATCAATGACTGGATAGTTTGTTTTAACTGAATCGAAGAACTTACTTCATTTGGTCATATAATCTGACTTACAGATATACGGAATGAGAATGTAACAGATTTTAGCAAAAATAAAAAGACTTTCAGGTAAGTTTATGAAATGTAAGGAGTTTGTAGAATAGTTCTAATTATCAATGATGTCATAAATCAAACTTTTAAATCCTGATAAAGATGATCATGTTTTACGGTAAGTTCTACTTACAAACAAATGAAGGATCCATTAGTCTGAACAAATACAATCAGGAGCTCTAAAAGATCGGACGTCTGATGTAAATTGATACTTCGACGTTAATAATCCACATGTCACTATGTGACAGAGAAGATGGGACTTTCAAAATAGGCTTATATTCCGAACCGAAATCAAAAATTTTACCGGCATTACCTTGATTATGTAGTAACATGCAGTAGACTTGGAACATGAGCGACCGTCCACCATTGTCTTCAGTGAGTTACAAACTTACAACAAACCTGGATGAACTCTGTTGGTTACTGCTCCTCACTAGAGTCAGTCAGTCGGCTACAACGTAGGACCTCACTAGAACTCCAGGAAATACCTCTTGAAGCCAGGCATTAGCGAGCATATGGTGATTATTATCAGAGAGATGGCGGTGGACAGTGGCTCGATTTCGTGGATCGATTGAGGTTACACACTGACACCGTTGAATGCCAGCTCAGTGGTCTAGATGTTAAACATTCGCGTGTGAGACTGATACGTCCTGTGTTCGAATCCCACGAGGCGGGATCATTGTTGCATACTGCTTAGGAGTCCCATAATAGGATGGAACGACCGTTCAGTGCTTCCAGGTTTTCTATGGTGATCTAGCTTTAATTGACAGTGAGACCTATGATTTATGGACAACCTTTGAGTGGCGTTAAGGTGATCTTGAGAGTATCCACCTACAAACTAGAACTATAAACCAGTGTGAGGAATTCGAATTATGATTAACAGTTGATAGTTAAGGTTAAGAATTAGATTTCAGCGTTTTCATCACGAACTGATATCAGCTATAGTGCCAAAACTCTATGAATGAGTGAATTTCGTGCCAAAATCCAAAACGTTTTTCATCTTATCCTTGATTGGTTCGTCTATAAATGATAATCTCACCAATAGAATATTTGATCTTCTACATTCATTCTACATCATAATGATGATCCATATATTCAGAATTATTGATTTGTATTTTATGTATTTTCTTCAAGTGTTTAGATTGTCCAATATGTCGATGGCCAGCATTTGAATTTGAATAATACGAAAAGGGAATCAAATGAATACAATTTCTATTCTAAATTCCATTGAACTATCTTCTTCTTAAAGATGAATGTACATAGTTCTTTCATTTATTGAGTATAAAAAAAGATATTGATTTGTTAGAAGAAAATATGTTTGAGTTATATTTTTATGATGAAGATGGATAGTTGCTAGGGGTGGAATCTAGTTTGATGTATGTTTCGTCCTAGTTGGGATTCATCAGTTGGATAGACTTGTATTCCACAGATGATGATCACTTCAGGACTCGAACCGATTATCATTCTCTTTAAACTCTACCATGTTATCTACTTAGCTATTGAGTCCAGATAGTCAAAAGTTTATACAATGAGGGGGGGGGTAAAGTTTTAATTTATTTTTGTATTGTTTGTTTGAATCTTTCCATTGATTTTTGGGATTGTAATTGATCAGTCTTTTGTTAGCATATGTGCATACTGTGAGTATTACATCGATATTGCCTTAGTTTACAAGCATTATAAACAAAGATGGATAGTGGCTACTAGTGGAATCCAGTTTGATGGGTGTTTCATGTTTTGCTTAGAATGTTTGTGAATTAAAGCAATATCAAGGCAATCCGCACAGGATGCACATATGCCAATAACAGACTGATCAATTGCAGTCTTAAGCATCAATGGGAAGATTCAAGTAAACAATACCAAATGAATTCAAGCTTCATCCCATTGCACAAGTAGGTGGCTATTAGGATTCAGTAGGTAAGCGGATAACGCGATGGAACGGTACTGAGTTTGAGTTCCAGAGTGAACATCAAGCTCTGAGATTCAGGTACATCCATTTGACGCTCGTCCTGGATTCCAATACTAGCCACTATCCATCTCTGCTTATAATACTTATGAATTAAGACAATATCGAGCAATACGCATAGTATGTACATATACCAACAAGAGACTGATCAACTGCAGTTCTAAACATCAATAGAAAGATACAAGTAAACAATAACCAAGTGAATTATGTATGATGGTTTTGTGTTGTGTTTTTTTTTTAATGTAAAAGTCAATTGTCCTCTCAGTGAAAACTATAGTTATCTTCAATATTTGTTGTTTGAATACAGCTACTGATAAGAAGCATTAAATTCAGATTTCTTTTTCACTTTACATTCATCAGTATGATGGGTTAGAAACTATTAGGATGATGTTACTATATAACGATTAAAAGTGTATCATATTGATGCTATTCAGAGACAGTCCTTCTGAACTTTATTGGTGGCTTCAAGTTGACTAAGGAACTTAAACTCTGTGAAATCAATAGATGAACACTGTTAAGATGTCTGAAATTCATCCTGAAATCACATCGAGTACTTTTTGTTGGTCCTTGAAATGAATGATACCTAGAAGCACATATACAACTAATAAAAGATTGATTCGTATTGAATATTTGGACCTTATTATGGATGTTGTGAGCTGTAATTGATCAGTCTTTTTTGGAATATATAAATTCGAGGTCCGAGTCCCCAAGTGAACATTAACATTGAAGTGAAGACATATCGAATTGATGAATTCCTAATAGAATGAAATGCGCTTCCTGGGTCCCACTGCTAGTTACCATCGAACTTTGCTGAATAAGGGATTGTTGTTCATATTAAAATGAATCTTAAACGAATGTACAATTTGAAATCACGAACAGATCAACATTGGAAATCTGGAAGCACAGAACAGTCACTTTATCCTAGCATAAGACTCTTCGGTATTACTCACCCAAAAACCCGAATCTTTAATCAAATCCAAAACCTTTGATCTCTTGCGCGAACACTCTATCTCTAGATAAATAAACCAGCATCCAATGATCTTAATATGTAAACTCAATCAATCCAATGATATTGCACAATTATCTTCTATTATCTTTGATGAGTAACTGTATCACACATGACACGGATTAAACTCTACTGATCATGCCTTCTCACTAGAACTCCAGGTGTTACATCTTAAAGCTAATCACTAGTGCGCCCATAACTGTATGAGGGGATTGGTGGTACTTATTACCTTAAACCTTTACCAAGAACCAATCAACATTGAGGTCTACAGGACAAGCTGTGAACCATATGTAGAGAAATTTGAACATTTCAGTTCTATCTGAAGTTTACGCTGATGATGATGTTGTTTAGAAGAATGATGAAAGCTTCACGACCAAACCATCTAGAGAACAAAACTCTATCAAAATCATCCACCTGAGTTACAAATCTTCTCCACCATCTTAATGGAATAGTCCAATTTGTTACATCACATCAACACAAGAAGGTGTATCGATAGTATCAGTGATAGAAAAAACACATTCGGTAGTAGAAAAAAAATCAACTTCCAGAAGGATAAAAATATTCTTGAAGAGAAAGATCTAGACCAATTCAGTGTGGCCACATTGTCACTGGTTACGAACAATGTCAATAAACTCATTCAACTATTGGCTATGATGATTGCTCGAACCTTATTCAGGCAGTTTTTACCTACGAATATGATTCTCATCAATAGGCAATGACTTCTATAGAAAAAGTTATTCAGCAAGCCTGTACATACTTTTCCTAAACTTATTATCCATTCATTGTAAGCGAAATCGATTTACATATCTTGTAATTAAAGCTAGAAAGATATGCTCAGACGACAGTATAAACAAGAAACTAAAGCTTATTCATAATATGTTGATTAAAATGGTTCAGCCAGAGTTTTCTGAAGAAATACTCTCATGTAGTATATATGCAGTATTTCCTTAGGAAATTGACCCACTGACCCGCCAGTGAAATTTACTTGACCTTTAGGTGACTTCTGATTGCCATCGATTGACCTTTTCACTAGGCTACTTCTGACTGGCCCTGCATACCATTTTGTAAGAAAGTTCTCTTCCTGAAGCTAATTCATCAGAGATATAGCTGATGATGTGCTACGAAACAGAGTGACTATAGCAATGAAGAGGATGTTCGATAAAACTAACCTTTATCTATCGTTCTCTAATCGATCTATGGTGATTCTTCAACTAAAGGGTAAGTTACCCAGTCTTGCCACATCCTTTAATATCTACAAATTTAGCTGCTCCTGTGGAGAAAGCTATAATGGGTGCACAGTCACACAACTGGGTCAATGAGTTAGTGAACACCCTCCCTTTGTTGTTAAGAAAAGATACTGTTGAGACAATACGCAGCTCTGTTCTATCACACTTGATCTATAGCGGTCATGTAGAAGATAGAAAATAGATCATTTAAAGTGATTTATTATATTCCTTCTACTTTTCCTTATGGTGTTCAATATCGTCTCTTACACATAGCAGAAGCTGCGAGAATTCGAATTAACAACCTAAGTCTTTGTATTCATAAAAGATTTGTAACACACTTATCTCTTTCTTGGCCAAATTAACCTTAATCAATGATTTTATTTATTATCAGAATAAGGATTTATGGCGATTTTAGTAATTTTAATAGTTGAATTCAATCGTGGATGGGCGCTACTGATGAGTACCATACTAGGACAAAACGGTTGTCTAGTGCTTTCAGATTTTATTGATTATATTTTATACTCTTTGTTTGTTCTTTTTCAAATATATGCTTCACAGTCTAATCATATGATCACCTCTTATTTTAATTAATGTTATATCAGCGTGTTTACTTTTACAAGTGACTGACCTACTTTCTATTATGAAACGTTGATTTAAGCCTTTAATTATTTTTATCACAACTAGTACACCTGACATCGCCCCCAAGTGCCCTGGTAAGATCAACAGTGAGAAGAGTCAGCTCTTCCTCTACAAATCCTCTCACATAGCCACGTGCATACAACAACTAACAGGAAAGTACTACTCACTGCATTCTCGTCCAAGGGATGTTGTTTACGAAATTGAGAGGACGAAAAGAGAATGTTTGGTGCTTTAACCGGATTGGCGGATCCATCTAGGGGAGTTGAGAAATCCTCACTTCAAACAAACGGTGCACATGGGTTCTATGATCCTGAAGGAACAACTGGCGTATGAGACAATCGTTGGTCACTGACTACCATGAAACTGAATCTCTCAAGGTTACATCACTGCCTTATGTATGAGACCTTTAGGTCGAAGTCTCTGGTTGTGTCTCCCTAATAAAGCCACCTGATTCGGTTTGGGCACCCGGTCAGTATACCAGCCCTTACACAAATAGAATGATTTATGTGACGGATATCTATTTGATGCCCCCTTATACCAATGTTTATGTTTTAATAATAATAATAATAATAATAATAATAATAATAATAATAATAATAATAATAATAATAATACCTGACGTCACACCACCAATTTATACTTTTCACTTATTATGTTTATTTATGTAATCTATTCTACTGTTATCGTTAACTCAAAAACTACCTTCACCGGTTTTATAATTTCATATCCGTTTATAAATATTCATGTATTCACAATTGATTGATCATTAGGTGCTGATCAATGTTATGTGTGTCAAGTCCTTCTTAGTGCAGCTCGAATTCTATCGACCAAGTTGGAATGTGGCCACTAGTCTAGATGACTCCACATTGTGTGCACTATGTTGAGATATGATGGTGGTTGAAGGTAGTCAACAGGAAACCCGGGTTTCGTGCTACTTGGCACTCGTCAGCAAAGTGTGTCTGTAATCTTGAGGGAACCGGTAATTCCTGACGGATTCGATCGCGACTGACCAATCAATTGTGACTACATCTCAGTCCTACGGGAGGTCGCTTGCGGCCCGGATAGCCCAGTGGTAACGTCTCTATGAAGCTGGGTGAAACTGAATTGAATCCGTCAGGGAGCACCAGCTCCCTCAAGATTACAAGTACGCCTTGCTGAGAGTGCCAAGTAGCACGAAACCCGGGTCCAGGGTTTCCTGTTGACTACCTCCAACCACCATCTTAAAGATTCATGTATATTAGAGTAAAGCTTGATGAGGATCTAATTGCAAACAATAATGTTCGCTTACATCTATATAGTTCTGACTTACAATATTGGAATTTTTATCATTTAAAGTACTTGAAAATTGTAGAATATTTTGTCTCAATCGTTTTATCTAAGTGTACACTGGTTTTTTCTTAAGTCTGCAGACAATTATCAAATCAAAAGAATTAACTAAGACTATTTACTAGTTGAGTTCATGAGTCAATGAAAGCTAGACAACGATTCAAAATCTGAAGATACTGGATTGCCGTTTCTTCCTAGTATGGGACTCCTCAGTAGTGCTCATCCACGAGAAACGAACCTAGGACCTTCTGTTTCGTGCGATAACGCTTAATCTGTAGACCATTAAGTCGACATCAAATCTTGTTATTAGGTTCGAGTCCCACGTACGGGATTGTAGATGAGCACTGTTGAGGAGTCCCACAAAAAAACGAAACGGGCATCCAGTTCTTCCAGGTTTTCAATAGTGTTCTAGCTTGTATCAACTCATGAATTCAACTATTAAAAAAGTTACTACAATCTCCATAAACTCCCATTCTAATAAGACTATTTACACTAATAAACAGAAGAATTAGGAATATACAGATATCAAGATTGATAAATGAAATAACTTGATCTAATCACTTATAAATGGTTAGAAGAATTAGAAGAATTTAGCCAGTAATTATAAGGTGTTATTGACAAATTTAGAAAAATACCCAAAGGGCTATTTTCTTTTCTTTATTCACAACCAACTTGATTGACAAATCAATGCAGTTAATCAAAGAAAACACTAATAATTATTATTATTCACTTGATATTGTTTACTTGAATCTTCTCATTGATGTTTAGGACAGCAATTGATTAGTCTTTTATTGGCACGTGTGAATATTGTACGAACTGCCTCGATATAACCTTAAGTTACGAGCATTCTAAGCAAAGATGGATGGTGGCTAACAGTGGAATCCAGGATGCACCTTTCGTCTTATTTGGGACTCGTCAGCTGGATGTACGTACATCCTAGAGTTGATTTTCACTCCAGGGTTCAAATCCATTATTGTTCGCTCCAAACTCCATCGCATTATCCATTTATTTAGTGACTACCAGTAGATAAGTGGATAACGTGATGGCGTTTGTAAGAAACGATACTAAGTTCAAGTCCTGGAATGTACATCAACTCTGGGATGCAGGTACATCCAACTGATGAGTTACGAATAAAACGAAACGTGTATCCTGGATTTCATTGTTCTCCACCTTTTATCTCCGGTCAAAAGTTTTAATCGCACTTTATGAACAGTAAACTGCCATTCAGTCATGAATATATATATAGTTCTCCGATGACTATTCAGCTTGACTATTATTTTTAATGTTTTTATTGAAAACAAGTTTAAATCATGATACTATGGGCTAAGAATTGGTCTTTGTTTAGTGTAGAATATTTGGTAAGACTCTTTACATCAAGGACTGAATTTAACCAAAGAGTACAGGACAGTTGTTTTATCCATGTATCGGAGTACTGAATAATGTGGATCCATAATCCTATCAAGGATTCATTCTGTGACTTTCAGGAGTTTTTGTGAGTGATTAGTCTGGTTATGTAGCAATGGCTTATTGCTTAAGACGTTCAACTTCCAGCCGCTAAGTCTCAAGTTCAGATCCCACTCCATTTAATACAATTTGGCCGACAGCATAATATCATTACCCTTCACACTTGGAGATTCATTTAGTGTGATCTTAAGAATTGTCCATCAATTTTGATTTGATGTAAGAAGTTATGAAAAAAAAGTACATTCTTAGTATATATTATCAATGTTAAAATTAGTCTATAAAATATTGAGAATGAGTTATCAAGACTGACAATTACAAATTCTATTGATTTCATGAAAACAGATCCAAGCTAGCTGAGGAAACACATAGAACGTAGTTTTATCTTAATAAGGGACTCCTTATCAATTTGTATTCACGATCACTAGACCAGGTGAATGTATCAGTTTTCAATTCAGCAAGTTTTATTTTAACGTTTATACAAATCGTATTGTGATGCGTGCTACTTATATTGATATAAGTAGTATATCACGCGAGTTAAAAACGCAATGTCTGGCAGCAGAAGATGGGGGGAGATCAAGAAAGGAAGAGCGACAACACAATGCAATTTGTAAGGAAACTCATGAACAATGAAATGTGAGACAATGGATTGATGTTTGCAACAGGAACAGTCCAGGTTGATGTGATGGATTAATATTTTGCAAATTAACGATTTACCATATGGCTTTTCTATTTTACCAAGTAACTCTGTAATTCTGTGCTATATACAATTCGGTTGTCCTCACCTGTGTTCGCCTTCACTAAAGTATACCTAAAAGTTGATTGTATAGACTTATAATATATAAAAAATGTTTTGTATTTATAAATGAAGTTGAATCAATTCTGACACATTTTTGCTTCAACGAAATCATAGGATCTGGAATAGGTCACCTACAAGTCAGTGAGAAATTATTCTTAGCTGAATTGAATTTATTTTGCTTTTTCTTAGCATACTTGGTCAAAATTATACAAACACTAAATTAGGTAGCTGAAGATAATCGGTAAAGAATACGGGAGCTAGGTTTCTTGGGAATTGACAGTCGTTATCATAGCGTATCAATAATTTTAAAGGGACTAATGTTTCGTGTGGAATCCTAGTCCGCCTACTGTCGAATACCTACCTCCAACCTGATCAATGGAACCCAATCACAACTAAACATTGATCACTAATCAGTGGTCAATTGATTGAGTATAGAATTAATACGCTAAATTATACCAACTCGCTACAGTTGGATAGAACTAGAAATGCCCAGGAGAGAGTGGGTTGGAGAATGCTTATCCGAAGCCTATGCTCCATTGAAGGCAACAGGCGTGGGGTAAGTAAGTAAGTGAGTAAGTAAGTAGGTAAGTAATTAAGGAAGGAAGGAAGGAAGGAAGGAAAGTAAGTACATGAACTCAGTCATCTCTACTATTTAATCTGAATATAGCTTAACTATTGACAGTTTTATAGTGTTAAATTCATCAACTCAAAATGAAAATCACTTTCCATTTGATTAGATACTGTTAGAAATCATTATACACACTCCCCTTCAATCATCTCACTTCTCTCATTGTTTCCATCCATAAAACAAAGTCAAATTAAAGAAGAGAAAAAGAAAGAAAGAAAGAAAAAGAAGAAAAACATAAAGATATTATGTATAGTAGATGTAATGGTATTCATATTATTAACAATACAATATTATTATTATTATTATTATTCATAATTGAAATAAACGAGCAAATAGAAGTTTATTTTGCTTTTCTTTTCTTTTCTTTTTTTTGTTGTTGTTTGTTTTAGTTAATTTAGTGCAACAAAAACTGGGAAAGAGCACAAAAAAATAATATTGATCAATAAATGATTCAATAGGGTAGTGGGTGTGATTAGTAGTTGGGATAGGAAGTGTATTTGTGAAAAATCAATAATAATTATAGTAATAATAATAATAAAACATAACAGTATTAGTAATAATAATAATAATAATAATAATAATAATAATAATAATAATAATGAAACAAACGTTGTTTACCTTAGAGCAGCAGTAATAATAATAATAATGAGTTGTAGGTAATAAGCGGTTAATATTATTGTCACTGATTTGTTTTTTTTTTCTGTTTTTTTTATTCTAACCATTCATTTTCATTGTGTGTTTTTTTCATTTATCGATTGTTTACTTCTCTTTATTGATTTAATAATGATGTGTGATAAATGAATTTCCTTATTGTAACTATGACATGTAAACACAATTGAATTGAGAGAGAGAGAGAGAGAGAGAGAAAGAAAGAAAGGGGGTGGGAGAGGGAGAAATAAACATGTTGTAATAAAAACACATTCACTCAGACAAATACATACACACACACACACATAGAATACCTCTTGTGAACGTATAGAAGTACAAGTGCTATACACACATACAAGAAGGTTGTAAAGTGTAAGAGTATGAATTCAAATGATTAAACATTAAACAACAGGTATATTGACGCATTCAATATCTATATCTATATCTATATATACCTGTATTTGAGCAAGAAGATCGTACAATATGCACCATTATAAAATTACACATAATTGTAATATGGAAATAGATTGCATTTTTGTATTTGTGAAAAAGAAGGCAACTAATTCGAGTTTATTTATTATGAAAAATTCATTTAAATTATGATAACCCTGGTATAATAACATTTAGAAGAAGGGATTGATTGATAATAAACAAACATCCCACCCCTTCATTATTACATAATTGATAAAACAAAATGAGGATAATGAAGATTGAAAGAAGAATGAATGATGTCTAGTTCACATGTATTGAATATGTGAATATACACAAATTAACACACGTACATACATACATACATACATACATACATAAGCAGCTTCATGTAAACATGAATGAGAGGCAGAGGGGTAAATAAGGATTGGAAATATGGGTAATCAAATGATTAAGCAGAAAAAAAAATTAAGTAAAAGAGAAAATGAACATTGTGAGATATCAATTCATCATATTGACAACTACTGTCAATCTGTGTGTAAGGGGATGGTGGTGGTGGCGGTGGGAGTAAACAAACACTTCTGCAATAATTCTGATAAAGATTTTTTCTTCCTTGAAAATATCTTAGACTTGTTCATTTCACAACATAAACACAACACATGATGAATAACTCTTCAAAAGTAGAATTACTGAAGTAGTAGTATTAGTATTAGTAGTAGTAGTAGTAGTACTAGTTGTATCTATGAATACGATAGAGACAAACTGAATACAATATACATACTCAACTTGCATGTGTGCATATCAGTTTGCATATGCACAAGTTTATTTCTTATTAGCAAAAAAATATAGAGAGTAACTAAATTGATGTAAAGGGGTGTGTGTGTGTGTGTATGAGTGGTGTGTAACGCGAAAAAACTTAGTTGTTGAAGTGAAATAATAAATTCGTTAACCAGAAAAAAAAAGAGGAAATTCATTTATTGACGTATATCATTGGTTTCTTGTGAATACTGTTAAGTTGTTTGTTTTAAAAAAATAAGGAAACGAAGCCAAAATAAAAGACAGCAAAAAGCAAATCGTTCATCGGCACTAGTGAATACACACACACACACAATATATATATATAAAGGAGAAACTATGTAATCAGGTCTTGTTTGGTTATATCTCCATTTTGTGTAAACAAACATATACGTAAATAAAATAGATCAGTAGTATTTCGAATACTCAAAGAAAAAAAGAGATTAGACGAAATCAAAACGGATTAAATTAGCAGTAGTTCCAAAGAGAAGGATGGAGACAGATAGACACACACGCACAAAGGGACAGAGAGAGAGGGGGGGAGTACAGAACATTAGCAAATCTCATGCTTCGAGTCTGCACAACAACACACTGTACAAATATATATATATATATGCATGAGATAAAGATAGATGAACAAGAAACGGGTTTATTTTAATAAAAAAAGACAAGAGAAATATGATCATTATTGGATCAATTATTGATGATGTTTTTTCTTAGAAAAAAAAGGCAACAATGAATACCTTGTTACAATACTACTATTAATATACTACTAATAATAGGCCAGAATTTAAAAAAAATTCTTTTTAAAAACTAATAATAATATTGAATAAAACCAAATGAGAAAGTAAAGTAACATTGTCAATAATACAAATAATCTCTTGAATTATTTAATCAGGATTCATTATTAAAATTCTTTTATAAAATATTAAAGAGAAAAACAAAATAGAGAAACAATAATCAATATAAGCAACAAAAAGAAAAAAAGAGAGAGAAGAGAATGAAGAAAAGCAAACGACCAAACAAACAAACAAACAAACGAAGAACTGAATGAAGATGAAAGATTGAGGAAATAACAAACGGACAATATAACAACGACGACGACGACAACAACAACAACAACGTTGCCTTAAAGCAAAAATAAAATGTATGTAATACATATTGTCTATTATTACATGTATATATATATATTATATCAATGTTGCAAGGAGGGATCGTCAATTCATGAAAATAAGAATGAACGACAATAACAGCAGAGACAATGGCAACATCAACAATATAATGCTAATTACATACCGTTTATATAAGAAAATTGAGCACGTACCCGTACACACACACACGAACGTAGAGAGTTGTAGCTTATGTGTGGATGTGTGTGTATCAGAAAGAGAGAGAGAGAGAGAGAGGGGGAGATTTTGTATATACGGAGGAAAGAAATACAAATTTCGCATATGTTTAGGTCTTTATAATAATTGATATGATCAACTATCTATTAGGTTAAAGTATGGATTAAAAAGGTATAATTCTGTATAGTGTTTAATCAATATATCCAGCGCTGACACCAATATCGATGCTCATGCTTTCATACTAATATAAACGGATAAGCGCATTTAAACAAGTAAACATAATTAAGATTCATCCGGAGCATCAGCATCCACGTATTCAATACTAGAATTTTGACGTTGTCTAAATGCCAACGAACCAATACTTCTACGTTGTTCCAAATCAATATGTGGTCCAAGTCCCATACGGAATGCATCGACCACTTTCATCTGATGATAAGTAGAATAGGTTTCATCAATATTATTGATTGGAAGCAAGTAGAAGATAAGCAACAACAACAAAAAAAAGAAACAAAAAAAGATTTTATTATTTGTGGAAAAATTCTTTAACTCTTAATGATGTTTACATATCTATGTGATTAAATACATTTAACAAAATAATATCTAAACATCTGGCTAGTCTACGTAACTAAGACAGGATTCGTTTGCTTCGTCATTCCTACACCATCTTTACATATTACATATATTGTATAAAATGAAATCATTGCCCCCCCCCTATCTATATCGGAGTTGGTAACTTATACAAAGATAAGATAAGCAATATTGTGATACATGCGACCATATGCCTTATTGATAGTCGTAACAGTAATCAATTCTAAATAGTTTAAACAGATAAACAAACAAACAAACAACGAATTACAGCTGTCATCAAAACTAGCCTAACACAAAGTCTATTTTGATAAACGGTAATAAACAAAGCGTGAGGGAGTGAGAGAGATTATGCAAATCATCGTAATCACTAAACGAATATTAGAGAAACAATCATAAATGAACAATGAGAAAATGTAAGACCCCCCTTTCCAGTATCAGTCAACTAGTCATCCACAACGTAGAACCAGGCACCTATACGCATCAGTTCATGTTGCCATACCTCATAAGCACTATAAGGTAAACACCAAATTCATAGAAGTAATTACTTCAATGGTATTAATATATAAAAGACAGATTGTGTATAGGGATGTAGTACAAGAAGAAAGAATTATTTTGTAGAAAGAAAGGCATAAAGTAATTTTAATTTTACAGTTTAAGCGAAGACAAAGAGTGTATACACCAACGCCATTATGATCGATTCTGAACCATGTCACCCACAGTCGTGAAGACCTTAAATCAAGTAGATTGCATCTACCAACATGATTTAGACCAGAAATAAGTGCATTTTATAGACTGATGTCACGTTTTAGTTTATTCACCCGTAACTTTCTACAATAATCAAAGCTGATGTATATAATTCAATATAGAAGATTTGAGTTAAGAATTTAGATCAACAATGATTTATAGAATGGTTATTGTTTACAAAGTCCAAACATACTATAACTATTGATGAAGTCATTGACAAATATTATTGAATAACAGTTACGATCCATCTACAATAAACGTACTAAACATTAATTGCTTAGCTATAAAATCTGTTTATTACTGTTATCAAAGTAATTTCAGTTAGACAACTATTGAAAACCAAGGAGCACTGACAAACAACTGTCTAATCCTCGTTTAAGACTTTAACAATATACATTCATGACCCTACGAAAGATCTTTAAGGTTCTATGGAAAGTGTTATCCTAGTGATTTATAGTATTAACTTTATTAAATATATTGCCCACGATCATCCCCAAGAGTTGTTTGTGACATATAGTTGAACTTCACTGAAATGTTGGGTAGTAAGAGATAGCCAGTAAGAAATTCTTTTCATTCTAGGTTTCGTATTAGTTTGGACATGTCAGCAGGGATGTCTATAATCTTGATTCCGACCGTTGTTGCTATTTTGACGTTATGAATGGGCTTCCCTATCGTGATGAACCAATCGACCTATAGTGACTGGAACAATCGTTCCTCAAGGTTCTATCATGCCAGACAGGTTGGTTAAAGAGCATTAAGACTAAAAGCAGCAAATCCAAGGTCCGAGAATCTTGATGGAACCGAAATTCCCAGCCCCGAAATTTGAAACATTATCGTTGAGTTATTCCAGTACTGATTGTAGAGAAGTCACTGGTGCTCATTTAATGATCAATGCAATTGTAAGTAAGTTAGTCTCCAACAGTTATAAATTCTCACAACAAACTTTCAAAAAGTTAACTCGTAAAAGGTCACCAGCCAAAGACATGATTATCCAGTTGGTGAAGGAAATCGGTTCATTTTTTTGGTGGGTGAAGGGAGAATTTTCCTTCATATACGTTTGTTTATTCACCTGAAGAAGCGACATACATTAAACTGGAAAAAACATCACCAATTGAATGCTCTACTCATTGGGATTCAACAAATATATACGATCACTGTTTTAATATAAACAATTCATTCAATGATCAAGTCAAACTTGGGTATAATTATACTTAATTTTTTTGTGAAAAAAAAACACAGAATCCCGCACCGCTGAGGGGTCCTATATTAGGACGAAACGATCGTCCTACTACTACTACTTCCAGCTTTTTAATCGTAGTCAACACATTCATGACATAAATCTATATTCAACAATCTCTACAATCCTATATTGATAAAACAAAGAATGTCGTCAAGTGGAATTGTATATAATTATTTAGTGACTATGTTTTATTAAACGTATATATATTATATACTTACTCTTTTGAAGAATTAGTATCATTTCAATTATTAAAACAACACATTCTCTGCAATACGATCTGCTATCGGCTATGTTTAGTAATATTGTAAAAGTACACACACACACACACAAACACACACAGACACCATGGCGTTAGAAATAAACTTGACAAAAAGGTAAATAAATAAAATGGATAAGTAACACAATTAGTTAGTATTGTTGCCATGTTAACAAATGAAAACCAATTTTCAAAGTTGATTTTTTTTTCTTTTACATTTCAACTATAAACTATATAAATAAAAAATTGTATACACAATAAAACGTACGAACACGCACGCACGCACGTGCGTACGTACACACAACACACACACACACAAGTTATGGTTGAATTAATACAAGAAAGAATGTATGATAAAACAATCCACTGTGATAACACAAATAAAATAATTCTAGTGTTACACAATTATCCATCTTATCATTTAATAGATCGAAATAGTTTTATCAGTAATAAGCAAAATAAGATCAAATGACACCTGTTATGTTCACATGGTAACACACGCACACCCACAGAGAGAGAGAAAGAGAGAGAGGAAATATGTAGGAGGGAAAAGAGTATGATTAAAATATGACTCTATAAGAAATCAAAGTTCCAATGCTTTTTAAGTAAATTTCAGTCATAGTTATCATGTAATTTCAATATTTAATTAAAACAGGCGTAAGTTGAGCTAATTGTCTAGTTATAGACGTTTTGTTTGTTTGTTACAAATTACATTACACTTGGATTATAGTTAACAGTAGAATCAATTGTTAACACTAATACTCTAGTAAATATGTATCTTAGATTCCATTATTAAAATAACAGCGGACAATAGCTATATGTTAAGATAAGTAACAATAATAGAGGAAGTGTGTACTTAGATTCAGTCGTAAATAATAATTCATACACTTTAATTGTATGAGAATTAATGATACTATCCTACTAAACTATCAAAACAGATCTGTATAGAGCATGATTAAAAACTGTAATTCAATCAGTTTAAGGTCAAGTGCTCCAGTCTATGTAATTGAGAGGATAAAAAGCGAATATCCGGCGTTTTAATCAGGTTAGTGGATACGGTGGATCCATCTACATGAGTTGGAAAAACCTGATTCCAAACCAATCATGTAATATGAGCTCCAGGATCCTAAAGGAATGAATGGCGTATGAACGTGTTGTTGGTTACTGGCTACCTAACACTGCTCCATCACCTTGTGAATTAGACCTTTAAGTCGAAGGCTCTGGGTGTGACTCCCTAAGGAAACCACCTGATTCAGTCTGAGTCCGGTTAGTATCACAGCTCACACACAAATCAAATGACTTGTGTGTGGCGCATATGTATCCGGTGCTCCGTTTACACCAATATTTATGTGTTCAAATAAATAAATAAAATAAATAACCACAGATCGATCAGTTTCTAGTTGTAAATAAAGGATATGTGAATATGAATAAGTGTTGAATGTATACTTATAATTTAGAGGTTATATTTCGGCAATACCGTCTCAAGGCTAAAGGAAAAGAGGAAGACCAAAGAACACATTACTTCGAGAAAAGAGGGACAGACATAAGAAAAATGAACAAAAATTGGATAGAACTGGAAAGTAAGGCCCAGGACAGAGTGAGTTGGAGAATGCTGGTCGGTGGCCTATGCTCCATTGGAAGTAACACGCTTAAGTAAGTAAGTAATTTAGGCAAGATAAAATAATGACATGAGTTGCACATAATTAGAATATTGTTAGTAAATGATGAAAGTTATTTTGTCCAAATACTATAAGTTGTAGAATGGCAAATACAATGAAAAGGTTATATATTTGTTTTTTTGTTGTTGTTGTTGTTGTAAGCGTTAATGTTTTAGATGGAATTAATGAGTAATAAGAAAGTGAAAAGCGTTGATATGATTAGATGAAAATGTATTAGAAATGGATATACAATAATATCAACTTCAATTTAACACATATGTTGTAAAGACTATTGAGATCTTGAATAGATCAATCATTGACTACTATTCAATACTTGGAAGCCGTGAACAATGGTGCTAATCTGTGTCAAGTATAAGGAAATTATCTATCGAAAACCATAGAAGATAGTCGCAGAATTTCGTGGTATAGTTAAAGTTAAACATTAATACCGTTGGATGCCGGTTCAACAGTCTACAAGTTAAGCATTGTTACACAAAACCAAATATCTTGCATTCAAATCTTGTATGCAAGATTGTGGATAAGAGCACTGTTGAGAAATCCTGTACTAGAACGAAACAGTCATCTAGTACTTCTAAATGTTCAATAGTAGTCTAACATTGATCAATTCATGATCTTAATCAAAAACGTATATTATTATTATGATCATCAAATTTATAAGTTGATCCATTGAAGTCATCCTTTCAGTATTGAATATTTTAATCGAAATTAACATTTGACAACTTTATACAAGAATTTCTCTATTGTTACTTGATTATAACTTCACTTCCTTTTTCTTTTCCTTTTCAAAGTGTAATCATTTCAAATAATTAATTTTGACAATTAAAACAACCGAGTAAAGTTGACAAGTTGAACATGTACTGCGTGTGTGTGTGTGTGTGTGTGATTTCGTTGGCGCCTTAACAAAGTTGAACAATCATGA